TTCTGGTGGGTTTCTAGCACTAGTTTGTCTCCATGGAGATGTTGCTTTGGCTTGAATGTTCTACAGCATTATACCAGATGGATATCGCTTAAATTACACCAGGAGTCTCGAACTGAATATGTTTTTATTTCAAGTTTTTAAGGCGGAATATGGAACTTTTCTGATGCAGGGTCCATCACCCGTTTGCTCCCATAGAGATGTTATAGATTTCCCTAGAATGTTCCGCAGTACGGCATTATATTTGTCTATCTTTCATTCAGTTCCAGAGTACCTTGAAAAACATGTATTCTTACTGTGAATGGACTCGCCTCTTCACAGATCTTACTTATAATGCCGCACTGAGATATTCCAAGCAAAGCAGTAACATCTCCATGGAAAAAGGTGATGGCAAAGGCAGGGCATCTGGTGTAAATACATTGTGTCATTAAATGTTTCAATATCAAGTATCATCAAGAAAATATTTAGCTCTTTGCAACCACCAGATTCGAACCAGGTCTTTTTTTTTTTAATTTTCATCTTTTATCTCAACATTTTAATCAGCTCTTTATGCAACCACTTCCTTTATTATAAATATTACACTTTTTATGTTTTTTTTGCTTCAGAATGTTGTGTATCTTCAAAACAACATCTGCCCACCTCTAGTAAAACGTTAAATTTTAAGTGATTGTAAGAAAATAAGTAAAATTTTCCAGGTACCAGAGTTGCAGCTTGAATTGTTGGACGATGATTTGTCACTCTTCAACAACACACTTCCACCTGCTCGAGACAATGGAGAGAATTTGCAAGCAATTGAAACCCCCTGAGTGCTGATCATTCTCATGTGTTTTGGAAATGTATTAAAACTAAATCCTTTTGGGAAAATATTGCAATTGTAATGGAAGAGGTATTTGGTTATAAAACACCCAGTGACACACGGGTTCTGTACTCAGGCTTGTTGCATGAAAACAATATTCGAACTGAGGACTTCTATTTGTTTAAAGTGATGCTCTTGGCTAGTAAGAAATTCATAACAAGGAATTGGCTGAAGGATGACTTTTTAAAATTACAGCAATGGACAGATATAATGCAGGAAATTTATGTCATGGAAAAAAAAAACTTATTATTTGAGACTGAAAGCTGTAAAATTTGAAAAGTGATGTTCTAAATGGTCTATTTACAAAGCTCACTCCAATGTAAGGTATTTTATTTTTCAGTTTTTTTTGTAGAACCCCTCAATACATTTGTTAAAATTTTGAAAAAGCGCCAATAAAAAAATTTAAAAAGTAAAAATTTACAGGTACAGTGTACAGATTTGTGAATATAAGTTAGTGTATTTTGAATTCATGCACACAAAAATAAGAGGATAATAAAAAAGCTGAATGTTCAGATTTCCAACTTGATTTTGACACCAAGGAGTAGACTCGATACTAAATACCGATACTGATACCAAAATGATGATTACAAAATTCTCTTATATTTGTTCCAATACAGCTCAAGATCATTCTAAAGCGACTCAGGAAAGCTTCATTTCTGTCCTGTGAGTGACACTTTTGTTTTTTGCATCGAAACCTGCTCAAACGAGTATCTAGTTTCGACATTACCGTCAATATCGATCAGATTTTTTTATACTCCTGACAGCCCGTTTAGATAATGTGTTTTTCTCGCTTGTGTTTGCTGACATGTGCGTTTGACATCACACATTTTAGCGTTGTTGTGATAGGTTTGTGTTGACGCTCGGGGGAATGTTTAGCTCGGTTTAAACTTGTGTCACGGTTGTGGAATGCCGTCCCCGGAGTATAGGGTCACCGGCCCCCAGCGGACTATGTGAAATTCCACTGCCCTGAGTCTGCCCATGGTCAAAACAACTGCTTCCTCAGATCCCACCCTGGTACTGTTTGTTTACTCGACCCCGTGTATGTAAAGTGCAAAGAGGTTTGTGTGTGGACGGACAAAGAGAGGGTCTGCTGACAGGAGGACAATACAAAACAGACAATGGACTATAGGGGGATGTCAAAATATCTACACACGTTTTAGTCATACGATTTTTCTAACACTGGTTGTCCTTTTTGGTTGGGGGTCCATCACCACGTGTTTGTTTCTCAGGATATGTGATTGCTTTGCCTGGAATGTTCCACAGTATGACATTAAGCAGCTCTACTTTACATTTATTCAACTACAGCTGGTTTTATAGCTCAAAAAACAAAAACGAGACTGTGAGTGGGGTTGCCTCTCCACAGATCTGACCTGTAACTTAGTCTGGTTTGGTCTCCATGGAGTTAGAAAGGTTTAATACCATACTGCCATTCCAAATAAAGCAATAATGAGTTCGACAGACCCTCCACCTTGAAAAGTTAGGTTGTGCACCTTCAAGATTTTGGGAGTTTTTTCGGAGTATTTTCACTCTTAAGTCAGATTCTGTGATTTAAATCATCTCAAAGCTCCAGAAATATCAGCTTTTGGTGTGCATGTAGTCTTTTTTTAGTTTGTTTAGACCATGAAAACTAAAGTGCTGTTTAGTGCTCTGTTGTATTCACTTTCTAATTCACATGACATTGCAACATCTTATCATTTTGTTGAGTTAAATTGACATAGAAGGCAAGCAGAATTACAGCAGTTAATAAGATAATATGAATTTATGAAGTAGTGGTTGGATAAAAAGAGAAAAAAATAATTTAATATAGTTTCAAAATGTGTGGATTTTCCATTTAGACACTGGCTTTTTAATTTATAATTTGCGATTTCTACTTTGGCTTCAAAAGAAAGTCAAAGGAGCGACAGTAGCTCAGTTGGTAGAACCTAGTAGTTTGTCCACTGATCCGAAAGTTGACTGATGTGATTCCAGCTCCCATTCATGAATGCTGTCGTTGTGTCCTTGGGCAAGACACTTAACCCACTTCACCTCTAGTGTCTGTGTACACTGGTGTATTATACTGTTAGTATAATATACACTACCGGTCAAAAGTTTTAGTTTTTTCCAGTTTTTTTACTGTTTACTGTTGACCAAAACATAAAATATCTAAACTTCGGATTGATGAAAGTGTCCACCTAGATATAGCAGATATAACAGCAGGAATCAAATATTGTTCAGAAAGTTCTTCCCAAGTCTGTTGCAGAAGTTTCCATAAATGTGTGGCACTTGTAGGTTGCTTCACTCTTCTGTCCAGTTCATCCCAAACCAGCTCGATGGGGTTTAAGTCTGGACACTGTGCTGGACACTCCATGTTTTCAAGCTTTACCATCTTGTTCTTTTTTCCTGAGGTAGTTTTGGCAGAGCTTGGACTTGTGTTTTGTATCTTTTATCTTTTTTTTAACCTCTGTCTGTTTAGTTCTTACCTTTGTACCATGTAAAGCTCTTTATTGAACTTGCACGACTTGAATTGCAATCAATGACTGGAAAAATTAGGATGGTCTAAAACTTTTGATGGGTAGTGTATAATAAGACTTTTTTTAAACAAATACTGTAGATTACTGGTCTGATTCTGTGCCAAAGATTTTCTTGTAATGCACCTTGTATTTAAACCTGCATCTAGTCAAAAATAAATCAAAACCATCACTATTCACAATGCAAATTCCTAATGCGATATTTCCAAGCACCAACATTTTTCCTATGACTTTTGCATACTATATTTCAAGAAGTATAGTTTTAGCCTGTAGTAAGTAGCTGTAGAAAGGAAATGGTCTTGTGCTGACAGATTCAACAATAAAACTGAAACAATAGCGCGTACTCCTCCTCGTATCTGTGTAATGGGCTGACCCCGGTGCCCTGGTGATGTAATGCACGTTTACTGACAGGAAGTGGCGCTCTTCCCTCCTCTGTTTTTAAAATGGATGATGTCATCACCTCCAGCGCAGAATTCCCCCTGTTTTCCTGTTTGTCTCTGAATATTCGTCCGATCTGTGTTTTGTCCTTGTCCTTCCGTCTGTCGGGAAGTGTTCAAGGTTTTCCCCTAAAAACACAAACAGCTCGACAGATTATTTTGTCTTTTGTTTTTGTGTCGTTCTTTACCAAATCACGTGACAATGGAATGTTTAGTTCTTTGTGTTTCAGAAGACAACGGAATTCTCTACCAAAATCTACCAAATTATCTTTTCTTAAAGTTGTACTGTGTAACTTTTTGGTCCAACCACCTGCTTATCTCCATGACGATATTACTGTTTTGTATTGAATTTTCCCCAGTATGGAAATAAACAGTAATCGCAATGGAGACAATAGAGAAGCAAGTCTGCACATGATAAGAATTCATGTTTTTTATTATGTTTTGGGCTATAAAACACCTTGTAGCTGAACAAACGCAAGGGAGATATGTTTAATGCCGTATTGTGGAACATTTCAGGCAAAGAAATAACATCTCCACGGAGACAAACAAGTAGCGGACCATCCACCTTAGAAGTTGCAAAGTGCTTAGTGTAGTTTTAGACTCCGTTTGGAAAAGTTGGTTTGGTTTTGAGAGACAAAATGTTATTATTGTAAGCAGTACACACTCAAAACCAAGAAGAGACACCAGTTCTTTAACTCAAAGGTTGCCGGTTCAAATCCCCACTCCTGTTGCTTTTTTTTTGGGCAAGACACCTCACCCACTTTGCTTGTTCGTTTGTGGCGTTATTTGGAGTCACGTTTGGACTGAATAGATTAATAGGCAGTCTAAACTGAGCTTAGAGACAAGTCCGAACTCTATGGTGGAATTTGTTGGTTTACGGTTCATGTCTCTGTAATTACTGGGCCTATCCACATGAAACAACAAAACAAAAGTGGCTCAAAGTTCATTGTCTTAGTCGGGGCAAATAAACAAATGTGAAATAACTTTTGAACAATAGCTTCAGAAAATGGTGGCATTGTGGTCAGTTGAAAGGACTTTAAACCGCAAGATTAATATGATGTTTGTGGAGCCAGTAGCATCAAATACAAGCATGAAACACAAGCACGTGAGCATGATCCATCCGTCCCATTGTGTTCTATGGTACGCCTTTATTACATTCTATTTGAACTGTGTAACTAACTGGTGTATTGTTTTGTATTCCAGGGTCAGGCGAGGAGGAGGAAAAATATGACCGAGTTCTTGGGCGAGACGAACATCCCGACCCCTGATGCTCTGGGGCAGTTGGGGCAGATGGGGCAGATGGGACCGGTCGGGCAGATGGGGGGGTCCCTGTCGCTGCCCCCTGGATCCGCCGGATCCGTCGGACCTGACACGTGGAAGAACAGAGCGGCCAGTCGCTTCAGCGGGTTCTTCAGCTCCAACGCAGGAGCAGGGTCGTTCGGAAAGGTAAACTCAAGTTACTCTAAAGTCTGAACAGAGTTATGACAGGGCTGGACCAGGACTGGACAAGGACTAGACCAAGACTTGAACAGGATTGAACCAGGACTGAACCAGGACTGAATCACGACTCAAGCAGATCTGAATGAGGTATTTAACGTTCAGTAAAAATATCTAAACTCCAGGATAAAAACTGGAAGTAATTATATGTAATGACAATCACAATCAGGAATAAACCAGATTACATTTGCACAAATACAGACGCAAACTTGGTCTAAAGCTGAACTCCATCTGGACTGAACCTGGACTGAACCTGGACTGAACCTGGACTGAACCTGGACTGAACCTGAACTAAACCAGGACTGAATCTGGACTAAGCCCAAACTAAATCTAGACAATTTCCTGACTAACTCTTTGAACTTAAAACACTCCACTTGGCCAAAATAAGGACTATCTCATGACTAAACCAGATCTAAACCATACAAGCCCAAGTCGCAGAACTAAACCGGGACTAACTCTGGTCTAAAATAAAAATACAATGGTGCCCTCATAAGAAACACCACATGCTGCAAATTACAAACCTGGACTAACTGTTTCAATTTGGACTTTGGATATGAATTTACAACATACAGCCTGGCCTTTTCCAAGTCTAAAGCAGAACTAAACCAGGTCGAAATCAGGTCTATCTAGCCATATCCCAGCAGCAGAAGTAACCAGTGTAGCGTAGTTTACAAAGCTGTGCAGTGGGTACATGTTATCTGCCCAGACTTGTCTCTCATTAAGAGTGCATTAAAGACAAAACACCACAGCAGCAGCAGATGGGAGGGGGGCAGATGGGAGGGGGGGCAAATGGAAGGGGGGCAGGAGGAGAGGGGGGCAAATGGGAGGGGGCAGGAAGGCAGTAGTCCCCGAGCGGCGCTGAGGTAATTTCCCTTTGGAGTCTCCTGACCTGTCGGCTCACATACTTTCCATTCACTCGACTATTTAACACAAAGAGAAAATCCGACAGGAAAATCCAAAATACACGAACTTTATGTAAAAATAGGTAAAAGTTGGCCCCTCTTTATTCACGATGGCTGCTGCTGATACTACTACTTCTACTGCTTCTAAAGCTACTACTGCTATTACTACTACTTCTACTACTGCTACTGCTACTACTACTGCTACTGCTACTACTTCTATTACTAGTATTACTGCTATATTGCTGCTACTACTGTTACTATTACTGCTACTACTGTTACTACTATTACTGCTACTACTACTATTGCTGCTGCTACTGCTACTATTACTACTACTATTACTGCTACTGCTATCTATTGCAGCTGCTACTACTGCTACTACTGCTACTACTACTACTACTACAACTACTATTGCTGCTGCTACTGCTACTATTACTACTACTATTACTGCTACTGCTACTACTACTGCTACTGCTGCTACTACTACTCCTACTATACTGAGAATGATGAAAAATACACAATATTCTATCCCTCTACTACACCATTGGTACTACTACTACTACTCCTATTACTACTACTGCTGCTACTATTACTGCTACTACTACTACTATACTGTAAATTAACAATACTACTGACATGTCTCTCTACCACTTTAAACACTACTGCAATATATGGGCTTTTGAGCTTACCCTAACCCAAACAATTCAAAATGCAATCTTGAGAAAAGTTAAAAGTCCTCAAAATGGCGTCCACGACAGGAAAAAGTCATTGTCGTTATACCATCTGAAACCAAACCAGCTGAATGTGTATTATATGTTGCACGGAGCTGTGAGTGTGCTGAGTGTACACGGTCTGAATGAGCCTCTCCACAGTGTCCCTCAGAGCCCTGCGCTCAGTGACAGCAGCACACAGCCCAGACACACGTCCTTTGTGTGTCTGTGGAGAGGTCGGGGCCAGATGTCATACAGAGCCAGTCCCTGTCACTCACCTGTCACTCACCTGTCAAAGCCCTCGTCTCTATTCAAACACAGAGGAGCCTCGAACACCCAAGGGACCTGTCTAGTGCACACCCCGTCTCTCTAACTAGTTTACTTTGATTCATAAGTGGTGTTCCACATGCCACTCGATCATGCATTTAGGGAGGAACTGTTACAGAAGTGGCATAGTAGTAGTAGTAGTAGTAGTAGTAGTAGTAGTAGTAGTAGTAGTAGTAGTAGTAGTAGTAGTAGTAGTAGTAGTAGATTATAGAGAAGTGTAGTCATTTTTTAATTCAGTTGAATCTAATTGAAATTTCATGTAATTTGAATGACAAAACATGAAATCATTCACAAAATAAGCTCTTTTCAAATGACAGACCAAAAAATTTAGACAAACTAAATTATATCTGAAGGAGCAGCGGAGAAAATACAAATGTCCCAATCGTTTTCAAAGCTTTTGTCACTTTTAGACTCACATTATGATGAGTAACCAACATTTTTGCTCATGTAAGAGTACTAGTTATTTCAATAAACATAGTACTCAAGGAGGAGTAAATGTATGCTGCTAGAGAAGTACTCTGAAAAGTACAATTTCTTTAAAAAGTAAATGTAACTGAGTGGATGTGACTGTGTACTACCTACCTCTGTCTAAATGAAATAGAAACAAGGAGGCCATTTTGATGCGTCGCAGTTTGTTAAGTTGCATTTTTACAGTACTAGATCCTCCTCGCAATTCAACTTTATTCAGATATTTGTGTATTGTTATATTGTTTGGATATTTATTACCGCACAGAACTGTTCCTCATGTATATTTTTAAGATGATTTAATCTTATACCAGTTGCCCTGAAGGTTGATATATGCGTGGCCCCCTCTCCTTTACCCGTCTATTGTTAACTCGACCTCAACACACAAAGCTCATTTTCATAACCACATTACGCCTGTCACTCTTAACAAAAGCACGGGCCGCACTTTACAGATGGATTCAGCATTTTAGACGCCGGCCAGAATTAAATGCAAATCCAGCGTAATGTCCAGAGTGTACACACAAAGGAGTTTTGAGTTGAAGCTAAAATATTGGGTCAAAACTGTAACGAAATCCAACTACAATATGTATTCTAATAATAACTAAACTTGTTGTGCAGTTACGATTTGCGATGTGACAATATCCAAATTTCTCGGTACGATATATATTGTCATATTTTGTGGAGGTTAACACAATTGTGAATATGCGACTTTTTCCTTTTAAAATACCATGATAAACCTTTGGTACTGTTATAATATAAAGAATTATGATTTGAAAGTGCTTAATAATGGTTATTTCTCCTTGGGGTCTGCACTGACAACAGCAAAGGATCATGGTCTATGTAGTTCTCTCTGTTTTTTTAGGTATTACGGTACCACAACAATGAATTGAATGAATTTGACAATATGATATCATGATATTTCAGTTATTGTTACATCCCTAGTTACAATCTTTATTTCAATGTCTCACTCATGATTAGAAATGCTCCTTCTTTCCTCCTTCCTTTTTTAATGCTAGGAATTGCTTTAAAAGGTTTTATGAGTTTATTATGACGGTGAATCAAATATTCCGTACATGACAGTAGATCTCTTTTCATAGTTTCCAAGTGAGTGATACAGTAAACCAATGGAGCTACTTGAGCGATTGTACATGTATTGATCAGTCGTGACCCAACAGTTACAGAAGTTGTTCTATGCAGTTCTTTTGTTTACTTTCAGAGTATATCGTCTATAGTTAGAACGATCCAAATGACAGCAAAAAGAGTTGATTAAAAATAAAATGTGTAAAAATCTTCCAAACAGGTTATAATGTTATAAGGTTATAAGAATAATCTATTCAGGTTTTATGCTATACTTGAACCTCCACAAATTTGGGGAAATTTCAGATTATTGTCCACCCCTACAAACTAGGGCTGGGTATCTTGAAAAAGTTGCCAATACAATACATACCTCGATACATGCGCCACGTTCAAGTGCACTTTCAATTCAATACGAGTCTTTGTTAAACCACTTCTTGTGCAAAGTTAATATGAAGCACAAACATTTTAATCATGAAAACTGTGTAAATGCCAATGTGTTGCATAAATGAGTTTCCATCATCTAAACAAGCAACAAAACTGTAGCGCTGTCACAAAATAATTTAGTAAAATATACCAAAAAATACTCTTAGTGATATATCGGTACAGCAGTCCCCGATATCAGTACTGTATAATCACATTAAACGATACGATATATCGATATTTCAATATTTTTGCACACCCCTACTACTAACTAGTAACTCTGCATCTTTACTCTGTTATTAGCCGATTCAAATAGAAATATAATGTATGTTTTGGTTATGTTTCAGGAGGTGGACCGCGTGGAGCAGCTGCAGAACAAACTCCATTCGTACTCGGTGTTCGGTTTACCCAAAGTCCCTCGTCAGTTTGCCTTTCACCAGGACTCATGGGAGGAGGAGGAGCAGGAGACAGAGCTGAGCCTGGAGGACAGCTGGCAGAGGCTGCTCGACCAGCCAGAGGTACACAACACAATACAACACAACACAATACAACACAATACAACACAGCAGCACGCATCATTAGACAAGCTGCTGTTGAAAGCGAATGTCATCTGAGACACTAAAGGAGGAAGAGTTAGTTCATTAAAGGCCCCTGTCTCCATGGAGATGCTTTTGTTTTACCTAGAGTATTCCACATTATGGCATTAAACTTCAAATGTTATCTGAGACACAAAAGAAGAGTTCATTAAAGGCTCCTGTAGTAGTAGTAGTAGTTTTAGTAGTAGGAGTAGGAGTAGAAGTAATAGGAGTCGTAGGAGTAGTAGTAGTTTTAGTTGTAGTAGTAGAAGTAGTTTTAGTAGTAGAAGTAGTAGAAGTAGTAGTAGTAGAATGAGTTTTAGAAGTAGGACTAGGAGTAGGAGTAGTAGGAGTAGTAGTACTGTAGTAGTAAGAGGTGTAGTAGGAGTAGGAGTAGAAGTAGTAGGAGTAGTAGTAGTAGTAATAAGACAAGTAGTTGTAGTTGGAGTAGGAGTAGTAGGAGTAGTGGTAGTGGTAGTGGTGGTAGTAGTAGTAGTGGTAGTAGTAGTTGTAGTGGTAGTAGTGGTAGTAGTGGTAATAGTAGCATTAGTAGTAGTTGTAGTAGTAGTAGTAGTAGCAGCAGTGGTAGTAGTAGTGGTAGTAGTAGTAGTACTGGTAGTTAAACAGAGAATATAGTATGGCATTAAACAGAAAATATTATCAGCTTTAAAGAAGTAAATATGTGAAATTTTGCTTAGAATATTTGACAATATGGCATTAAACAGACATGTAACCCAAAAGTATAGTATTTATAGTTATTTCTTTAAAGCTGCACTGTGTAAATTTTCTGGTGGAGTATATACTGTTTCCATGGAGATGTTATTGTTTTGCCTTGCATGCTCCGCAGTATGGCTTTATCTGTTTTCATGCAGACAGGCAGGTGGCGTGTCCAGGCCAAATTACAGGGCAGGTATTTATGAGCAGTAATAAAACATGTGACTGAATAAATGCCACATACGTGAGTACAACGCCCTAATGGACAAAAAACATAGTACATAGTGCACCATTAAGCACTGACAAGCAGTTCTTTTCTTTACAGATATATTTTATGTGTTATGTGTTATGTATTGTATGTTTTTTTTGTTTTTTTTTCTTTTGTTTTCCTGAAATGATAAATCTCCATACTATTACCACCACTACTACTACTACTACTACTACTACTACTACTGCTACTGCACAAAGAGAAAATTCTTCAGGAAACTCTAAAATACCCCCATGATAAATACCAGAACTTTATGTAAAATAACTATTACTATTACTACTATTACTGTTGATGTAGCTGTTACTTCTACTGCTACTGCTACTATACTGTACTATTGCTACACTGTACATTAACAATACTACTGGAATGTATGGGTTTTAGAGTGATGAAAAATACACAGTAGCCTACTACTACTACTATTACTACCGCTACTACTACTTCTGCTTCTATTACTACTGCTACTACTACTACCGCTACTGCTACTAGGACTGCTGCTAGTACTGCTGCTAGTGCTACTACTACTACTACTACTGCTGCTAGTATTACTGCTGCTGCTACTACTACTACTACCACTACTATTGCTACTGCTACTAGTATTACTACTACTGCTATCACTTACTACCACTGGTGCTAGTATTACTGCTCCTACTGCTACTACTACTACTACTACTACTACTACTACTACTACTACAATTATTACCACTTCAAACACTAATGAAATATATGGGTTTCATATAATTTACAGTGATAAAAAATTAGAGCCATTGCCATAGCGACAAACAACTCAAAATGTAATCTTCTAAAAGGTTAAAAGTCTAAAGGGTAAAGGGGTGTCATCATCAATCATGTGATTCTTAGTTGTGATTCTTTTTCGGGTTTCACAGCATTATAAAATATCAAATTATGTTTAATATAGTGTGAGTAATATTAATATAGTCATGTTTTGATATATTTTCGACACTGTGAATTCTGTTAAAGCTACACCAAGTTACCTTTTTTTTTGGATAAAGCAATAGCATCTCCATGAAGAAAAGCATTTGACGCACCTTCCACCAGAAAAGTTACACAAGGCACCTATAAAACTAAACATTTCAAATTAGAATGTATATGCCTTCAATTACCAGATATAGAAAATCATAAGCTATGTATAAAAGCTGCCTTAATAGTTCATTAATTGACAGTTTTCCCCTAAAATGCATTTAATATAACTCTCAAATTACCTCCAAATTATTTACGCTACTTTGTTTTTTACTTCTTTACTTACTGCTACTTACTACTACTTATTTCTTGACTTCTACTACTATTATTCAAAAGTAATGGTACTTACTTGGGTACAGTATTTTGATTATCTAATTTACCTACCATTGTTAAAATCTCATGACTTTTCAGACAGCTCTTTGTTGAACTTCCTCGTCTCATTCCTCCTCCGCCTGATTTCCCAGAATGCCTTTTGTGTTTTATGGTGTACAGACATCAGGACTCATAAATTCCTGTATACTGTAGATTATAACTGTTCTGTGGAATTGAAACTGCAGTTTTTTATACTGTTCTACACTTTCACCTCTCTGAGTTACATAACATTGACTATATGACATTTAAAGGGCCTATAGATATAAATATTACATTATTTTCTGATCTATGCTTTAATGTTTTCTCCTCATAAATATACGTGGAATTTTTTTGTTTCGTTCACATGTTTAAAACACAAAGCCTGCATTATTTCGGCTCATGTATTAATATCATAATAACTTAATGGCTTTGTTTTTTTGTTTGTAGACGTTGACGAGGCGACAGTTCCACCAGCAGGAGGCGATATGGGAGCTGCTACACACTGAGGTCACCTACATCAAAAAGCTCCGAGTCATCACCGATGTAAGCTTTTACAATCAATTATAAACCGTATAAAACATGACTAATGATGTAACTCTTTGCAAATCTCACAGAGCAAATGCACGGTATTATTGTGGGGAGACAAATGGAGGAGGGGAATTAGCAGTAGATTAGCATAACAAAAATAGTGGCTAATGCTAAAAACACAACAACAAGTCTTTAATCCAGTCTTTAAACACATTTTCGAACTTGATTAATACCAGTTAAAGTTGTTACCAGTTAAAAACATTTCTGATCTGGTCGTGTTTATAAAATTTTGACCATTTGCTACTGCTACTAAACTGTACTATTACTATACTGCAAATTAGCAGTACTACTGGAATATATATGGGTTTTACAGTGATGAAAAATACATATAATAGGCTACTACTACCACTACTATTACCTCTACCTCCTCTATTGGTACTACTACTACTGCTACTGTTATTACTACCATAGCTGCCACTGCTACTACTACTACTACTACTACTACTACTACTACTACTACTACTACTACTACTACTACTACTAATACTAATACTAATACTAATACTGATTCTAATACTAATACTAATACTATTACCAGAGGTGGAACCAAGTTATTGTTTTGCAAGTCTCAAGTAAGCCTGAACTCTTTGACCTCAAGTCCAAAGTCAAATACAGGCAAGTCTCGAGTCACTGGCCCATAAGTCCAGGTCAGGTCCAAGTCGTCTGCTTTGAGCTTCAAGTCATTTCAAGTCTTTAAACAAAAGTACAAATATAGCTTGGATTTTTGCAATTTATATGATTTATTCATTCATATAATGAACTAAATTGTAATTGTAAAAGTCATGGTTTAAGTTGTCTCAAATCACAGGCCTCAAGTCCTGTCATGTCAAGTTCCAAGTCATTGATGTTCAAGTCCAAGTCGAGTCCGAAGTCTTGGTCCATTTTATCAAGTCAAGTCTCAAGTCCTAAGAATAGTGACTCAAGTTTGATTCAAGTCCAAGTCATGACTTGCAAGTCCCCACCTCTGACGAGTATGACGACGACGACGACTACGACTACTATTATTAATATACTGTAAATTAGCAATACTAATTTCACATGTCTCTCTACCGTTTTAAACACTAGTGGAATATATGGGTTTACAATGATGAAAATTTTGAACCATTGCCATAGCAACAAACAATTTAAAATGCAATCTTCTGAAAAGCTAAAAGTCCTCAAAATGCTGTTCTTAGAGGAAGCAGTTGAAACAATTTCGGATTTGATTGTGTTTATAAAATTTGGACCATAGCGTCACTTATTTTTGTATAGGCAGCCTCACAGCGGCAGTAACAACTATGTTCAAATGTCTGTATTATTGTCAATATTATGATGTTAAAATGTTGTTTCCTCATCACAAACAGACTTGAAGTTGTGTTTTGTTTCATTCACACACAAACTTAGAAAGTGCTCCAATGTGTTTTATAAACACCATACATCTTCAATAGAATCACTTGGATGATTTTCAGCCCATCACACATCACAATAATAAATGGTTACTCAGGCGTGTGTGAATGAAACAATACACAACTCCAGGTCTGTTTTTGAGGAGGTAACAAAGCTCACAAGAGTCCGTTTAGTGTAATATAGGGCCTTATTATACTCACACATGTTTTAATTTCATTTCAGAAGGAAACTAGTTATTTAGCTCTAATCTGGTGTGGAATGTTCTTATGATCTTAATATCTCTGTCAGTTCAAATAAACATTAAACTCTTAACTTAATCTAGAAGTGCATCTATATTAATTTCTCGTTGTAAATATTTCAGCTGTTCCTGTGCGGACTGCTGAACCTGCAAGAGAGTGGCCTCCTCACAGAAGTGGAGCCCACCAAACTGTTCAGTAACATCCAGGAGATCGTACGGCTCCACAGCGCCCTCTGGAGTCAGGTCATGGTGCCTGTGCTGGAGAAGGCCAGACAGAACCGCGCCATGCTGGACCCCACAGAACTGCACCAGGGATTCAAGACGGTGAGTGATCGTAGTGGTGATCTGCAGGCTTTAACGATACATGCATGGTCTAATAGAGTATTTCTCAAAGTTTTCATACCAAGTACCACTTATTTACTATAAGGCTAGCCCAATTTAAGAAGAAACTGATTTAACAGTTAATTAAATGGATTCTGAATTCAGTATTAAGTCAGGTACGTTGACATCCCCACCTAAAATAGAGCCCAGATGTGACTCCACAAGCTCCCTTATATTTATATTTTGGCCAATTTATTATTTAATTTCCCTTTCTCTCATTTTTTTCCCCCTCTTCCCCCCATTTTTTAATACACTTTTTAAACACTTTTCGTCACTGTACTTACAAATATTTTCACCATCATCATTTCCTTTCACAGTTTTGTACTTTTTACTACAATCTTAAAGCATAATTTTAAAGGCATTTTCTTTTTCTTCCCCCCTTCTTTCTTTTCCTTGTTCCTTTTTTAATTTTTTATTTTTTTTTTCCATTTTATTTTTGTAATTTATTTTTATAATTTTTTCTGTTTTTTTCTTTCTACTATAAATGATAAATTGTCTTTGTTTTAAGGATTACCTATATTTCCATTATTATCTATATTTTAGGTCACTACTTTAAAGCCTTATGATTAAATAATTTCAATATTCTGACATATTTTAATTGTATTTATCCATATTTTATAATGGATAAATACAAATATTAACACAAACACTCTTAATAAAGGGCTTTAAATAGGGGTTATAGTGCTTTTTATTGTCATTCTAAACCAGTCACAAGGACAACTTAATGTACTTTTATGAGCCTCAAAAATATCAAACATTTTTAAAGGTCTTTTCAGTAATTCCTCAGAAACTTCAACTCAGTCTTTGTTGCAGTGTTAAAAAGTGAAATGAAATAACCCTGTGCTTGTGTTTGCAGTTTGGGTCTCGTTTCCAGCCGTACATCCGTTACTGCATGGAGGAGGAGTCGTGTATGGAGTACATGCGCTCACTGCACAGGGACAACGAGCTCTTCAGGACCTACGTCACGGTCAGCATAAGTATTTGTTTGTTTTGTCTTTCTTTTTCAATTACAAGAGCAGTGTGGTGTTGTGGTTTCATCAGTATATTTATAGTACCTGTGGTGGAAAAGAACGCAACTAGCCACAGACATTGGAATTTCTTTTGGGAAAATGAATTATAGAGCGGAAATCAAATGACAGCTTCTGCTTGTGGTGAATTAAATATTATCATCAGTATATTTATAGTGTCTGTAAAGGAATTAAAGCCACCAGACAGCACTGTTATTTCTTTGGGGGAAATGAATGTATTTATCTGAAACCAAATTACACCTTTGCTTTTGGTATTGAAGTTAAAGGTGTATTGTGTAACTTTTCTGGTCCGTCAATTGCTTTTCTCCCTTGACATGTTATTACTTCGTCTAGAATGTTTCACAGTATGGTATTAAACCTTTCTATCTTCATGGAGACCAAACCAGACCAAGTGACAGGTCAGATCTCACAGTCACAATGCCTGTTATTTGGTATTTTTGACCTATAAAACCACCTGTAATTGAATAAATGTAATCTTTTTAATGTCATACTGTGAAACATTCCAGGTAGAGCAATGACATATTCATAAAAACAAGCAGGTGATGTGAAGGACACCCAACCAAAAAGTTACATAGTGCATTTCTTTAAAAGAAAACAGGCAAAAAAAGAACAAAACTTGGTGAACTTAATGATTCAAATGTAGTATCCAGTATTTTGACATATTTTCTCCCCGTGTTTGTGTATGTGCAGTGGGCAGAGACACACAAGCAGTGTAACCGTTTGAAGCTCGCTGACATGTTAGCCAAACCTCACCAGAGACTGACCAAATACCCCCTCCTCCTCAAGAGCATCCTCAAGAAAACCGACGAGCCAAGTGCACGTGACATCGTCAACAACATGGTAAAAAAAAAAAAAAATAAGTTCTCTGATACAAGTTTATTTAATATCAGTATTTAAGCGGCAACAGAAAACAGTGAAACAGAGTGCCTCTTATCAACTTGGCAACCTGTTAGTTCTCCGCACAGAATACAAAGCTATATATCAAGCTATAGGTCTCATTTATTCACTAAAAGCATTTTGTTGATTTGGGGATTTCTGTCCTTGAGTTAATTATATTATTAGTGTTAACTCCTTAGTACAGGGGTCACCAAACTTTTTTCTCTGGGGGCCATATTATTACTCCTGACTGTGATGGGGGCCGGGGTTGGGTCGGCCATATAACAGAATTGTATGACCAGACCAAAATGACCACCAGCAGACCTCATAGTGTAGTAGAAATTACTAGTTTGGCATAGCCTTCCACAATACTACATATATACACATAATTCCTGGTACTCATTTGTTTATAGTTGTAAAAGTAATAAGTACTTCACACTTTGTTTTAATTTGAAATACCACGGATATTACATTTATTGCACTATAGTACTCTGCGCATTCGTTGACTGTCAGGTGACGAAAATTTGGGAATAAAAATAAATACATCGTATAATTATGTAACTATAAATATAAATACATATTCTGATATATACATAAAAATACATATAAATATCATTTTTTTAATTGAAAAAAAAAACAAAATACAAGATGCAGACGTGTTATTATTTGCCAAATAGTAAGTTATAAAAATAGGCCATGACTTTTGAGGATTGCCTCATAGAGCAGGTTCAAGTGGTGAAGAGCAGAGGGGCTGGGGGGCCGGTCAAAGGGGCGTGCTGGGCCAGAGTTGGTCCACAGGCCTCAGTTTGATGACCCCTGCTTTAGTAAATTAAAATAACATAAAAGCCTGGCAAAAACAACAAAAATACAACCATTCAAGTCATGAATTGTTCAAATGTAATGTTGATTCAAATGATGGAGCTAGTTTGTGTATTAACTCGTGTGTGTTTGAAGGTGGCCACAGTGGAAGGCTTCATCAACAGCGTGGACTCCCAGATGCGGCAGAGACAGGAGCAGCAGAAACTGGCCACAATCTCAGCGCGAATCGACTCATACGAGGCTGTAGAGGGCAGCAGTGAGGAGGTGGAGAAGGTAAGCAGCAGAACCTCTACAGAAAAACATTTAGTTTATAATTTAATTTGATAATACTTTTGGCTGAATATAATTGTGCTCCGGTTATGGCCTTGAAATACACAATATTTTAATTGGGAATATAAATGTAAAATACTAAATTAAATGTAATTGTTTTGTGTTTTCAGATATTGAAAGAGTACAACCGCTTTGACCTGATGGCTCCGATGAGAGGGACGTCATCGGAGGAGACGAGGCAGCTTCACCTGGAGGGGGCGCTGCGCATGAAGGAGGGGAAAGACAGCAGGGTAAGAAAAAACAAAAACGCAAAATGATTTCATGGAATTAAAAACAGTTTAAGAGAAGAACTCAGCCTAAATATGCATTCATAACTTTTGTCAGGTCCCTACTACACACATTCTAATTAATGCACATTCATGAAAACCTGTGTTAGGTTTCAGTCACATGATCCTGTCTGCATTTCCTTTACTCCACATCTTACTTAAATTATATGACTGACCCACACAACTAGATAACAGATTGTCAAGTAAATGCTCTAAAAGTGGTTCTATTTCCCTGTTAGATGGAGGTGTATTGCTTCCTCTTCACCGACCTGCTCCTCATCACCAAATCAGTGAAACGAGTGGAGAAAGTGAAAATCATCCGCCAGCCTCTGCTCATTCACAACGTGGTGTGTAAAGAGCTCAAAGACCCCGGTGAGTGCTACACACAGTATATGATACATCTTTATTTGTCCCACAACAGGCAAATTACAGTGCTGCAACGTGAAATTCAAGAACATCAAAATCTAGATAAAAAAGCTGTTAAAAAATGTTAAAAGACTTGTGTACAGTGCAGTATATGGACAGAATATATAGCCCCCTGATCTGATAATAGTGACTGCTCATTACAAATATTTATTTATTTGTTTGTTTATTTCATTCATAAAGTATAAGATGACATTAACAGTGTCATAACATTACACATACAAGAAATGAATGAAAAGGAGCAGAAAGAAGAGTCATCTGATGTTATCTGCCCCCTTTTCCTTTTTAACACTGATAGTTACTTTTAAAACATTTCGTCAGTACATTTCATTTCAGTCACAATTATTAATCAGTTGCAAACAGAGATCATCACTTTTATGCGCAACAACGTAGTTTTCTTTTTCATACATATACATTGCTTTGGATTTCATGTATTTTTTAAATGATTGTACTTGATCCTTTGATTTCTTTGTCAAGATTATTCCATAAATTAACTCCTAGCATCCATAGCAATGCTTCAGTCCATACGAAACATACAGAATAGTACAGAAATTAGATTATATAAATTGGGTTAAAGGTGTAATTGGGCTTAAAAACATTCCTATAAAACAAAACACACACACACATAATTCTACATATACTTTACATCATGGTGAATACTTTTTACTGTTCGAAAAATGAAATATTTCGTTTGACTTGTTAATTGCTTCGACAACGATGCCTGAAAGTCTGAAATTGGTGGAAATAATAATCTGTACTTAAGTTGTCTTTCTAATATTTAACGCTTCATGTGTTGCGTTTCTCCAGGCTCCTTTATCCTCATCTACCTCAACGAGTTCAAAAGTGCAGTGGCAGCCTACACTTTCCAAGCCAACAGCGCCACCCAGGGGAGAAGCTGGATCGATGCAATCTGCAACGTCCAGGTGAGAAAACACATGCCAAGTTTTAACACAACAGCACTGAAAAACACACGTCCTTTTTCTCAGATGACGTCATATATTAATTACATCAATTACAAGAGCTGTGTGTTGTTGTGTTTTCATCAGTATATTTATAGTAACGGTGGTGGAAAAGAAAGCAGCTAGCCGTAGATATTGGAATTTCTTTTGGGAAAATTTATTATAGGGTAGAAATCCTCAGATTAATTAATATATTAATTAACAAATGTGTGTGTAATTGTGTTTTGTAGAACCAGCTGCAGAGGCTGCGCAATGAGGAGGTGGTCCGACAGCAGAACAGTGTGAAGAGCACCACAACAGAGGAAGAGGAGGAGGAGGAAGAGGAGAGCAGCAACTCTACAGCCAGCTCCCCCAGTCTGAGGCACAAGCAGAACTCAAGGTAAACCACAATACATTACATAGACTACATTACATTATATTTTATCATGGCACTTTTTGAACTATGATAAACTGATATAAGAAATACTACAATAAGCAATACTCACAAAACAACCCTAAAGTATAACAATCCCAGTTTTATACCGTTTCTAGGTTTACCGTAGTTTTTTAACATACCACAAAAACCTTTCAAGTGTAAATATAAGGGTTATTAAATATTATTGTTTTAGTATATTCTTTAAATACTGTTATACTTTTACTATTATCTGTTGAAACAATTGAAATACTATTAATAATATTTGATTAAAATGCTTTACAGTTATAGTATAGTTAGGGATGTAACAATAAATGAAATATCATAAATGAATTACTTACTTACTTACTTACTTACTTACTTACTTACTTACTTACTTACTTACTTAAATGAATTGAGAACTACATAGACCATGATCCTTTGCTCTGTTTCAGTCCAGACTTCATGAAGAAATAACAGTTCTAAGCACTTTTAAATCAGTTAGTTATTTGGTTTATGACAGAACCAAGGGCATTTTAAAAGGAAAAAGTATTATTCACAGTTGTCTTATTCTCCACAGAATATTTCAATAAATATCGTACAGAGAGATTTGGATATCGTTACATCTCTAGTTATTAGGGGTGTAACGATATCCAAGTCTGACGATACGATATCGTCACGTATGAACCTCACGGTACGATATTTATTGAGATATTACGGGAACGTTCAAGATATGGTGGGGAAGCTCACGATTAGGGATGTTAACTATATCCAACTCTCTCGGTACGATATTATCACAATATACATCTCACGGTACGATATTTATCGTGATAAACTGTGAATATGTGACTTTCTCCTCTTAAAATGCCTTGACAAGACTTAATCCAAAGAACTAAGATTTAAAAGTGCTTAGAACTGTTATTTCTTCTTGTAGTCTGCACTGAAATGGAGAAAAAGAATCATGGTCTGTGTAGTTCCCTCTGTCTTTTTTTTTAGCTATTGCTGAACCATAACTCTTAATTTAAGCAAAAAGACTTGGTCCACGATATTATTGTGAGAACTCTGACAATACCATATCACAATATTTTAGTTATTGTTACATCTGTACTAGCTACAGTCCAACTATTCTTTTTAGTTTTGTCATTTAAATACACGTTTCGTCCACCAAAATGAAAACAAATAAAGAGCTATTAAACATATAATTTTGCACTGATTAGGTGTTAAAATATATAGACAATTTTTTTTCTTAGATTTTTTTATAGATTTCATTGCAAAGTAAAACACAAATTACTTGTGCCCCTTTTTTATTTGTGTAGTACTCAACAAAATGAACAGATGTATGTTTACTGATGTTATTTTGCTGTAGTAAACTTTGAAATGATTTAAATTACAATACATTTTTGTTTTTTTTTTCTTCAGCCAATCGGACGGCTCCACTGAAACCCTGTCAGTCATGGACATCGATGAACCCTGCCTTCCGATTTTAACCTTCACTGACACGACTATAGAAAACACGACAGACTCCAGCGTCCACTCCCACCGCTCTCTCCCCACAAGCCTGCAAAGAGTCCTGTCCACCGTCTACTCCGAACCCGACCAGGACGGGGAGCTAGAAGGACAATTTAGACCCCCAGTGCAGGTCTCTATCCATGGACAGCGCGTACGGGACCCTCTCTCCTGAATCCTTACTCCGAGAATTACAACCCCAGCAAGGCCAGAGCGAAGGAGAGGAAACAGAGGAGGAGGAGGTGGAGAGAGGAGACGAGGAGCTGGGAAAAGAGGAGCCAGGAAACGAAGAAGACGAAGAGGGGGATGCGACTTCGCTGGGGTCGCAGTTATCCGTAGTGCAGTCTTCGAAACCACGTAGAAAACCTGTGCAACCTAAACTTCACTGCTTACAAAGACTATCTACGCTTTCTCGATCTGAGGATAATCTTCTACAAAAGTTCCACAACACGCCAAATATTTCAACTTCAAACTCGCTGACTGTTAAAACGCAGGACCAAAATTCAGAAACGCTCCTCGGGCACAGCCGTAGCATGTCCGCGTTAGGCCAGAGCTACGTCGAGCTTATCGCCAATGAACTACTTGACCAATCCGATGACAGCTTGAACGTAAGCGCGCCGTCGGAAAAGCTTTGCGCTACTTTGAGGAGAGCGGAGGAGAGGCACATGAACAGAACGCTGGTCGCCACGGGAGACGGGTCAGAGGGGTCCGACGGGGAAGCGGCGCCCTCTGGTGGCGGAGAGAGGAAATGCGAGAGCGCGGGGGAGTCTGGAGAAGTGTCGTTGAAGAAAAAGAGGTCTCCAGTCCAGCAGCATAAGAAGCTAACACTGGCCCAGCTCTACCGGATACGCACAACCATGGTCCTGAACTCCACCCTCACTGCCTCGTAAGTCTTTTTGTTTTCTAATTGATTGTAAATATAATAAGTCATAATGAAATAGACATAGATAGACATAGACAGACAAAATTTATTAATCCACAAGGGGATATTATTTGGACACAGTAGCTCACACATTACAATATATTATCAAAATAAAGAGAAAAAAATCTAAATGGTAATAATACATTCAAAATAAGTAGCAAAAATGGCAAGAGACTGGTATACATATAAATGTCTAAATAAAATAAGTAATAAAAAAATATGTGTATTTAAGTAAATGGATTAGGAAAGATTACAAAGTATGGGCTACTGCATTGCAAAACCTGATTTTATAAAATACAGTATATAGGATACACAAGATACAGGAACAAGGTACTTTTAACTCATTTCAGTAGAGCACAGGGTTTACTGAACTACCACCACCACAACCTTCTCTCAACTTTCAGAATAAATCAGGACTAACCCAGGTCTTAGATTTAAAAACAACAACAACAACATACATTTAAAATGATTATAATCTAAAAATGTATAGACAGGATTTCAGAATTATAATTACTCTATTTGATGCCCATAGTAAAATTTCTCATAGAGACATGTCATTCCTGACCAAGATACGAGATTAAGAAATAGAACAAAAATGTCATTATCAAAGTAGAATGTAAACTCAGCAGAAATTTCACTTCTCTTAATCAGAAACTACCTGAACTGTCTCAACTTTCAGACTCAATCAGGATTAAGCCAGGTCCCAGATAAAAACAAGTTTGAAATGCAAAATTTGATTGCGGTAAAGAGTTTGTTCAAGTTAGAAATTAATTATATTGAGCACAGACCACCATATGTTATAGTATAAAAAAAATTAACAGAATTATAATTACTCTTTTTGATGCCCAGAGTTAAATTCTTCATACATGTGACTCCTGACCAAGATAAGTGATGAAAAAATAGAAGTAAAAATATTAGAATGTAGACGATGTCAGCACAAAACACTATGTAACATGCACAGTGTATATTTATATGTATATGGTACTTTCATTGTAGTAGTGCGATGGATCTATTTTTATTTATTTATTTATGTGTTTATTGATGTATTTATGTATTTGAAAAATGTTTAAATGCAAGATCATAGGTGCAAAACATTCATAACAAGACATATGGATTCAAATGATAAAACAGAAGAGACAATAAGACAAAATAATAATAATAATGACAGAATAAAAGTCAAGTGAGGAAATTACTTGAGGAAATGTATTTTTGTGGTGTGTGTGTGATGGATCATTGAGATATTTTCTACAAAGTTTTCTCACTTTCTTTCTTTCTTCTTCCAGGGAGGTATAACCACTCGCCAGCAGCCGTTTTGTGGCCTGATCCGGACCGTGGATGGACTGAACATCTTGACAAAAATGCACTCTCTGTCTGCCCTCTCTGCTCATATTTTTGTATCTGGACTACGACCGTTCAATCTCATTACTTTGGAACAATAACTACTTTCATTTTTTGCTGTTGAACTGAAAAAAAAATCCTCAATAAGAAGAGAGATGCGGGAGACACCAACTGCTTGCACTTTGAAGTAGCATTTTGGAGCTGGGACTTTTAAGGTGGACCGGAGACATTGACTGTAAAGGTGGGAACGAAAGGATAAGGAACTGGCTCCACCTTAAGAATCTTGAATCTGCTTTCTGTTAAACCAGCACAGTACTACTCCTGATTTTGCTTAAAGGAAAGATTGCACACTTGTGTTGAACTTCACAAAAATATTATATGTTAATATGTGAATGAATTTGAATTTTGACTGAACCAAAAATTCCTGTGAAAATTTAACACCCAAAGATGAAAGTACCAAAAACCAAGCTAACGTTCCCTCACCTAGTCTCACGGTAACTGACCATGTTGTTAATCTTTTTGGGTTGAGGTGGCTAACATTTCAAAGTTGTTTTGGTTAATTCTCTGCACTACATACACTTATAATAACTTCAACTCACCCTTAGTACCACATTTTCACAAGAAAGAAATCACAAAAACATCAAATCTTCATGAAATAAAAATGACTTGAATTCAGAATATCAACTGTTGTTTACAAGTATTTATGTAAAGCTTCACTGTGTAACTTCTCTGGAGCGGGGTATGCCACCTTGTTTCCGTAGGTGTCAAAAAATACCTTAAATAACAAGCGTTTTTACAGTGAGCGGGCTCGCCACTTCACAGATCTGATCCGAAACTTGGCCTGGTGCCGTTATCTGCTTGTTTCCGTGAAGATAAATGGGTATAATGCCGTAGTGTGGAACATTCCGATACAGACAAAATAATACATTTTTATGGAGACATGCAAGTGGCATACCTCGACCAGAAAAGTTACACAGTGCTCCTTTAATAATAGGCCTAGTTTATGAGATTTCTTATTGGTTTATATCCAAATATCTGATTACAAATTTTACATTTTCATTCTAGGACTTGGCGTTTTCGTAACTACTACAAAATTATTGTAATTGTAATTAGAAAACATTATTTTAAAGGCGTTGTATTTGATTTTTACAGTTTTGAAAACGTGAAAAACAGAACTAGTTTGGTCCAAAGTTGATCCTTTTCACAACTTTCAGGGACCAGTGTGGAGTTTTACCATCACATTACAACTACTAATCAACAACTTGCATGCTAACTCCACACTTCCTGATTATCGTTAACTGTAAAAAAGCAACAAACAAAAAAAAAGTGTACAGGACCTTAAATCCAAATGAAATAAGAGTCAAAGTAGAAGATACATTTAAAATAATCAGAAATATTGAAATTAATATTCTGATTTCAAGCCATTTCTGTTCATGTAGTTATAATTCTTTTTTGCAGTGTGGCAAATGCGTCGAAAATAAATAAATCTTTGTATCTGAGCACGTTTCACAGTTCGCTCAGATGTGTTGCTAATTTGTAAATTTCCGATGACCTCCCGAGATGTCGTAGGTTGTCAGTTTACCTTTAGTTTTGTCTCTGTGTCATATTTATTATGCCTGATATGTTTTATATATAAGATATTGTTTATAATGTTTCTTTAATATGATTTGTACATTTTTCCTTAATGTAGTCTTAATTTTAATTTGTCGCCCGGGCAACAATGTGCTCTGAACCAAAAATCATGTGTTTCCTGTTTTGGGGAATGACTTTAAAAAGTGTCTTACACAAATAAAAATGATAAAAGATAATAAACCAACATGGGACTCTGCTAATTTTTTTGTATTATATTTTGTGAACTACTTTTACTTTCATGTGGGGACCAGTGATGCCACTAACGCGCTACTTAGTAATGCGTTACTGTAGCCCAACTACTTTTTTCAGTAGTGAGTAGTCTAATGCAGTGCTATTTCCAAACCAGTATTCAGATTTAACTTACTTATCTAATACACTGTGCGTTATACTATTTTTGCATTTCAGGGCGACGTAGGTTTATTTATTTAAATTTTTTGGCGACGTGAGTTATGTGACCCCAAAGATCGTATAAATCGTCTCTGGTGACATGTTTCCTATGATGTTACGTCATCTCCACTCCACCACGAGTCAGATGTAAATAATGGAGGGAGAGAGGTACGCCTTTTGCAGCTGGAAATGCAAACATTATTTTGATTTTATTTCAGCTAAAGATGGCAACATAAAGGTTCGTTGTACACTCTGTTCGCTGCTGCTGAAAGTAACTAATAAAGTAACTTGTAATCTAACTTAGTTACTTTTAAAAGCAAGTAGTCAGTAACTTAACTAAGTTACTTTTTAAAGAAGTAATCAGTAGTCAGTAGTCAGATTACTATTTCAAAGTAACTATGGTAACACTGGTGGAGACATACTGTATTATGGATACTTTGAGGCAGAAGTGGAACCAAGTCTTTGTTTTCCAAGTCTCAAGTGGTTGACCTCAAGTCTGAGTCAAGTCAAATACAGGCAAGTCCAAGTCGAATCTCAAGTCACTGGCCCATAAGTCCAAGTCAAGTCCAAATCAAGTCCAGGTCATCTGCTTTGAGCTTCAAATAATTTCAAGTCTTTAAACCAAAGTACCAAATATAGCTTAAGACTTTTACAATTTCTCTAAATTTTAAACTAAATTGCACTTAAAAAGTCATAGTATATTTATATATGAGTATTTATAGAGTATATAAGAGTTGTAGAAAATAAGTTAGTTACATTTTTCTTTTTAAATGCAATATGCTTAGAGTAAATCATTATGGTAGGAATAGAAAGAATTCAGATTTAAAAGTGCTTCTCAAGTCTTCTCAAGTCCAGTTCAAGTCCAAGTCGAGTCCCAAGTCTTAGTCCATTTGATCAAGTCAGGTCTCAAGTCTTAAAAGTAGTTTGCAGTGACATCATACTGTGGGTGCTCTGCCTGTATCCCTATGACAGAATGTTCAGAAGTTACCACAATGACTTCCAGCAAGTTCAGCCAGTTTGAAAATCTTCCACTGTGATCTTGAGGAGCACCTGACCAGAAATTTGATTGGCCCACTTAGGCACTCATCTTTCTCTCTTAAAGTTTTAAAATTGTCTGAAAACTCTTTACTGTTTACTGTTGACCAAAATGTATTCTAAACTTTTGATTCATCAAAGTGTCCACTTTTGGCAGATATAACAGCTGAACACACTCACGGCTCGTTCTTTTCACAATAGAAATCAAATATTGTTCAGAAAGTTCTTCCCAAGTCTGTTGCAGAAGTTCCATAAATGTGTGACACTTGTAGGTTGCTTCACTCTTCTGTCCAGTTCATCCCAAACCAGCTCGATGAGGTTTAAGTCTGGACACTGTGCTGGACACTCCATGTTTTCAAGCTGAAATAAAGAGCTGTCAGTTTGAAAAATAAGTTCAGCTTTTCATTTTCATATCTCACCTAAAAATAAAATGAACTGAACTTTGAACTAGTTCAAAATTAAAATTGTGAACTATGAAAGTGAACAGTTCACTTTGAAAATGTGTAAACTGAAAAAAAGTGTGAACTTGTACAATACTGCCCCTAAATCACACGAATGTTTTATTTTTCAGAGTTGTAACTTCAGTGATCTAATTGGTTACGTCATAGGCATATTGTTTGCTTTTACAAGAAGATAGTAAGTATTTTCATGCTGATTCTGTTATTCAGACAATACTCTTAACACGGTGCTAACCTTCCTATTTACAAGAAGTTGGCTCAAAACACAACTATGAAATAATCAGAGCAGAATGTCTGACAAATGCTTTCTTAATGGTGTAATCCGTTGTAATCTGAGTAATGTAAAAAGCCTGTGTGTATGTTCCATTAAGAATCCATAGGTCATTCCAGGAGCCTGATCCTTTGTTCAACAGCAGCTGTGACAGAGGCTGCGGTAGGTCACGGACCAGAATAAACAGGCCATGACCTTTTTAATACTTCCACAACTCCGCCCTGCAGTCTAGATGTGTGTGATGATAAATAAAATACATACTGTATTTTGCGCACTATAGGGCGCTCTGGATTATAAGGTTCACTGTTACTGAATGGTCTATTTTCAAATTTTTCTCACATACAAACCGCACCGGACTATAAGGCGCATTAAACAAAACACAACAGTTAGATAAGTCAGTCAAATTTTATTAAACGTAAAAAAATCCTGTCTGAGACACTAAATTGTTAGTGTATTCACAGTAACTCATAATTGTTCAAACAGTTGGGTGATTACGGCGTCCAGCACGCCCACATCCCTCTCATCATTATCCGAGTCAGTGTGGTTACTGTTCCCTGGCAGTTCAGTGATGATTCCGGTGTTGGTGAAAGCTCAGACCACAGTTGATACTGATCCTTAGCTCAGGCGTCCACGATCCATTGGCCTTATAATAGCCTTGATTTTAAAGTGGGTGTTGTAAGCGTGTCTCTTGACAGGTGCATTTTGATATTAAAAGGAATCACAGTATGTGTTACTCCCCGATGCTCCTGCTACGGGAGCCATAATGCTGCAAGTGGTGCAGCTTTGTAGTTTACTAAAGTCGTTCTAAGACACACGAATAAATTCATATATAAGATCCTCTGGATTATAAAGCGCACACTTTCTTTTTTTGATGAAATTAAAGGCTTTTAAGTGCACCCTATAGTGCAGAAAATATGGTAGTTAGAAGCTTTTCCAATTGATTTGTTTTCTTGCACTGGGCCCCCAAATTTATGTCGACAGGCCTGGTTATAAGATTCATGTGCATTAAAAGTACACTGTGTAACTTTACCTGTGGGCTATTTGCTTGTCTTCATGGAGATGTTATTGTTTTGTTTGCTTTAGCTATGTTCAAAGTAAATAAAGAAATAATTATCACAATTATCAAAGTAAATAAGGGCACTTATTACAAATATTCAGCTCAACTGCAAGAAGAAGAATTTACATAATCCACCAGCTATATATAACTACCACTACTACTACTATTACTACTACTACTGCTGCCACTACTGCTACTACTATGAATGAAGTGATCAGGGCCTCAGGGCAAAACAAGTCAGCAGGAAGGACTGGACACAAGTACATTTACTACAAATATTCAGCACAACTACAAGAAAAAGAGTGTACATAATCTACCAGACACTACTACAGCCAGTACTGCTGCTGCTGCTACTACTACTACTACTACTACTACTACTACTACTACTACTACTGGTAAATAGTTCTATGGGAGAGCTTGAAATTTTGATTTTTTTTTTAACGTCAAATCCAATGCTTCTCCCCATTGCTTTATCTGATCTAAGGTACCCTTTGTTTTAATAAATAAATAAATACATAAAATGACCAAGGCCACAGGTAAGTACGTAAATAAAAAGACCGAGACGTAACTTAAAATATGTAATTAAAATGTATTCAAGGATTAAAAGAAGAAAGTGAAAATTTTAAATAATTTATTTCTACAAAAAGACCAGCAGTGGGTAAGACTATAAAATGGCTAATATTAATAAAACTACTAAAATAAGCATAAAGCCTTGCAGCCCCTGGGCGGAGGAACCAAATCCTGAAAACAGAAATAAATGTTACAAAGCAGCCAAACAAGGACAACTTCAGAAGGGGTAACCCCACCCAAAACAAAATGGAAAGAGCTTTAGATGTCTTGTTTTTAATGGGATCATTTTGGTTTAAAGGGCCTGTACTACGCTCTTTTCATCTAATGTTGTTTCCTCATCACAGACATATTTGGATTAAGTACTTTTCAGCATCCAATCCATTTTCGTCCGCTTATCCGGGGCCGGGTCGCGGGGGAGCAGCCTAAGCAGGGACTCCAGACTTCCTTCACCCCAGACAAGCTCCTCCGGGGGGACCCGAGGCGTTCCCAGGCCAGCCGAGAGACATACAGCGTGTCCTGGTTTCCCCGGGGCCTCCTCCGGCGGGACATGCCCGGAACACCTCCCGAGGGAGGCGCCCAGGAGGCATCCGGAACAGATGCCCCGAGCCACCTCAACTGGCTCCTCTCGATGTGGAGGAGCAGCGGCTCTACTCCGAGCTCCTCCCGTGTGACTGAGCTCCTCCCTATCTCTAAGGAGCGCCCAGCCACCCTGCGGAGGAAACTCATTTCGAGCGCTTGTATCCGCGATCGTCCTCGGTCACTACCCAGAGCTCTGACCATAGGTGAGAGTAGGAACGAAGACTGACCGGTAAATAGCTCGCTCGACTCAGCTCCCTCTTACCGCTACTACTCGACTGTCAATCTCACGTTCCGTCCTTCCCTCACTACGAGATACTTGAACTCCACTTGAGGCAAAGACTCCCCACCCACCCGGAAGGGCAAGCCACCTTTTTCCGGTCGAGAAACCATGGCCTCGGACTTGGAAGAGCTGATCTTCATCCCAGCCGCTTCACACTCGGCTGCAAACCGCCCCAGTGCACATTGCAGGTCCTGGTTCGATGAAGCCAACAGGACAACATCGTCCGCAAACAGCAGAGATGAAATCCTGTGGTCCCCAAACCGGACCCCCTCCGGCCCCTGACTGCGCCTAGAAATTCTGTCCATAAATACAATGAACAGAACCGGTGACAAAGGGCAGCCCTGGCGGAGTCCAACATGCACCGGGAACAGGTCTGACTTACTGCCGGCAATGCGAACACAGCTCCTGCTCCGGTCATACAGGGACCGGACAGCCCTTAGCAAAGGGCCCCGGACCCCATACTCCCAGAGCACCCCCCACAGGACACCACGAGGGACACGGTCGAATGCCTTCTCCAGATCCACAAAACACATGTGGACTGGTTGGG